CAGCGCAGCAGCAGAGCCGTCGTGTCCAGGGGCAGGAGCCTCCCGCTGCCCAGGAGACCGCGCTGCCACCTCCCCAAACCCGCCAAGGCCTGGGGCTGCTGCCCCACACAGCTACGTCCAACCCGGGGCTGGCCTAGCACCAGGGAGCTCCTGCAGGGACAGAACGTGCTGGCAGAGGACAGGAACACTTCCATCACGAGAAGCAAACGCACGCTTAGGTCACCCGTGCGTTAGAATTCTGAGTCTTTTTCAAAGTCATTCAAAAGATTACCCCAAAGCCGATTCTTAAGAGAAAGAACACCAAACAGGCAGCCTAGAGGGAGCACAAAAGGGAATAAAGCCAGGCATCCCAAAACACAAAAGGTAACTGAAACAGGCACAGCAGCTCCTAAAGAGAGGTCAAATCCCCGTGTATGGGAATCACCTGGTGAAATTTTCCGTGTGCAAAAGGAAGATCACATTGACTGTGGGAGTCCAGGGACCGATTTAAGAAAGGTCACGAGCATCACCGCAGCAGCACAGGAGCCTCGTTCAGCCCTCGCTGTTACGCTGCAACCATTCCTGGATTAACGGCGGGAGGCACAAACACACGAACTGGGGAACAGTTTTGTTTCAGCAACCCAGCAACTCGGTTTAAGGCCTGACACGTCCCACAGCGATGTCTGCAAGAGCCAAAAGCATCGGACATGATCCTGTGGGAACGTTCTTCAGCATCACCACCAGCACGGACAAGCGCATGTTCCGTTCAGGGAACACCGTGAGCAGTTCTCTCACACCACGCAGCTTTTTCCAAGGGTTTCTCCACCTGAACGGCGGCACGTTCTTATGCCAAATCCTGCAGGCACCAGAAGGCGAAAACCACCGCCACGATACGGAGCCAGGACCCCCACCACGTCCTCGTGTCCCCTCGCTGCCCGGCAGGACACCCCAGCCAGGAAGGGTTCACCTCAGCTTCTTTGCTCCCGCCAACAGAAACAGGATTTCATCACCCCAAAACGTACACAGATATTTCAAGCACACTTGTTGAGTAATTTCAACTTAGTTAATTTGCTGAATAAAATTTAATTTTATTTAAAAAATCTTATACACTATTATTCACCTAGCCCTAGTTGTGAACAGATTCTCACTTCTGAAAATAAACCACATTCTAGTCAATTCAATCAACACCAAATTAAATTACTAGTACTGGATTTTTCTTCTTAAAAAAAGTATGTTAAAACTTTACTTTTTTTATTTTTAAAACCTCTAAAGAAAATGTTGCAATTTTACAGAAACGTTTCTTTTCAGGTTATGCTTTTTTTTTAAATGCCTGTTATAAATTCAGCTTGTGTAGAGTTTTTTTTTTTAATAGTTTTTTAATATGTATTATCTGCAGAGACATCGTAACAGTTCCATTTTGTGGATGAACACAAAACTTATACAGATTTCTCATATTTGGTCTTTAGGTAAATAGTTCCCAAAAGCTGCCTAAATAAACCACTCCAAACTGTTCAGTCCATCATGAAAATACAGTTTTTCCTTTCGTAGAGAGAAAGGAAATATAAATAATGCATCATTGTTACAGAAAATGACAAAAATCAGATTCAAATTAAGCCAACTATCTAGCTCTCACTCACCTTACCGCATGAGGAAATAAGACGTTATGTGAATTAAAGACTGAACAGCAGCCTCACGTTTAAATTTAATCTTGAAATGTAAAGTGGAATCTATTACCACAATTAAAAGTGAGAAATTACCAATACATTTTAAAATGTTCAACTGCAGAACACACACTTAAAAAAAAATATTATTATAATAATATGGTAGCCACTGTTAGAAAAGCACAACAGCTACTCTGACTGGAGACCCCAAAAGGTCAGTGTATGACATCAAAAGTGTTACGGAGAAACTGGTCGGATTCATTTCTACCGATGGGTGCTTAAGCTTAAAAATATCGAATATACCTCTGACAAGATAATTTTACTCTTTTTAAAAGGACTCGTGATAAAGAATTTCATCTTTCTAAATGAAGAACAGTCTGTTATCTTAAACATACACAATATTAAGCGAGACTCTTGTTTTACTTTAGACTGGAAAAATATGCCAGGGACAGTCAAAGTCAACACAAAGTAACAAACAGCAAAAGGTAGCAGAAAGAGAAACAGGTAAGTGCAGCTCTGGTCAAATTCATAGCAGTTCTTTACGTCAGTTAACGGCTCATTTACATTGTAATTTCTAATCAGTTACATGCAAGCCCAAAGAAGCATTTGATCACTACACATGGTAATAAAATCTGATTAAATTTCTCAGGCAACTGCTAAAATATGAAAATTTGCAGATGTAATAAAGTAGCTTTATCGGAACTTTAACAGGACAGACAAAAGTAAATCATTCCGTTGGTTAAAAAAACCCTACATTCAGTTTTTTACCAAACAAAATTTCACATGAAAAGTATTGTGTGATTCCAAAGTTTCCGGAGTAGAAATGGAGTGATTTGAAATGTCAAAGACCCCATTGTTTTGCAAAGAAATGAAAATACACCTCAAAAATTTCTAATTCCACATGTGAACAACAAAATACTGCATATCTACCAACAACTGCATCGGGTAGGTCGTTACGAAAGGCTAGCTGCCAAGATGGAGGAAATGGCTCCTTGCCTCTGTTCCCTTTAAGGAATATACAATCGTCTGAAACCAGTTCACACTAAGCGCTTATCATGCTGCCGTTACACTGAGATACTCAGTCCTTAAAATAATCTGATAAAGATTTTTTTAAAGCTGCAGCCCTCCCCAACACTGTATTCCTCAGTGCACACAGTTCGGTAGGGGGCAGGGAGGAGCGGGGGTCACAGCCTCTGGAACAAGATGGTTTGCAGTTTGACTTTAAATTACCGAGTTTTAAGGCCACCTGTGTTGGGTTTTTTTCAGTGCTGAAGGTTGAAAGTCTGATCACAGGGCCCCTTTCCCCACTGCGTGAGAACATGTTCCAACATTTTAGGTGTTATATCGAAGTGTCTCCTTTTGGCACCGTGGAGTTAGTTTGTTTTTTTTTTTTACAAAAAAAAAAAAAGAAAAAAAAAAGAAAACTCCCCTAAGTTTCTAGTTCTGGCTGCCTTTATCACTCACTGCCACAGACGGGGTGTCCACGTTAACAGCTATGACTATGCTCTCTCCATCTTCTGTTTTGATACGTTTGAGTTCCTGCTGTTCCGACTGGTCTCCGTTCTGGCGCTTCGTTGGAAGAGATGCTGACGCGGAGGCATGGGTTGCTAACATATGCAAAGGACTTGCAGCAGCTGTGAAAAGATAATAAAAACTTCAGCACCCTACTCCTTGTCAAAACAGATGATACTGAAAGCAAACTCGCAGTTTCAGTAACGTGACGAATTCCTTTACTGGTACTATGTGGCTCATCAGCAATCCCAGTTAAGATTCAGGTCCAATTGTTTAATCTTTGTAGAAACCTGAAGGATTTTCTCACAAATCACTCAACGTTCGTGCAGATTAGGACACAGGCAGGAGAACGGGGAAGTGTCTCCGTTTTGTCAACGGGGAGCGCAAGACCACGAAGGACTAAGTGACTGAAAGTCAATCGACATCGTAATTTGTGACATAACTGGGAGGCGAATTCAAAATGCCCTTTTCGGAAGGTTCTGGCCATGCCTGCAGATCACTGCAGAAGGCACTGCTTGGCCTGGAAGGAGAGCACCACCACGTCCTATTCACCAGTTATTTCAGAAAGCTTTAAAATGCACATGGCTCAAGTAGCAACTGCTCTCTGCCAGACAATGAGGCATTTACACAGGGGAAAGGCAGTGCTTTAACAAGTAGCAGTGCTAAGAGATTACTCATCTGGTTAGACTCAAGCACACAAGTGAATCAGACCAACAGAAATGTATATAGTGCAAACATCCTACACAATATTTCAGTCTCTCTCATTCCGCAGAAGAGACAGCGCAAGTCACCATCAATGGCCAAGTACCGTCCTTTAAGCCTTCTGAGACGTACAAAGGTTCTTTCTCTACACTTGTTGTTACCAGCCTGTTTGTCAATACTGACCCTGACTCTGTTAAACCAACTATTCAAACGTCATTGCAAATAATACAAAATACTATTATATATTTACTTGTTCATTGCAGTTCTTGAAAATATATCTAAACATTGTGAAACCACTTGCTTTCTTACAGACAAGCTCCCTTCCTTCAGCACCATCACTGTGCGGATGTCATTACAGCTTTCCCTGCTGGTGAGCCTTCAACACAAAGTCCGTTCGGGTTCTTATTTGCCAAACTCGTCCTCTTTGTTCTTAGTAACCTACCCCGACGAACACCTGGAATATTGCCTCTGCATGGAACCAAACTCTTTTGTACTTAGTATTTACTCACAGAATAAATATCTCAGATAATACTTCCCTGATGCAAAAAGCTTTGCTGCAACTGTAAAATAATTTGTTCTTCTATCTCAATAGTCATTCAGCTTCTACCTGAAAAGCTATTCCTTGTACAATTTCCCGATATAGAGAGTTACTTCTGAGTCAAATGCCTTACTAAAAATTTATTGTTGCTTAAATGAAACCAAGAAGTGTACCCCTCATCTTCAAACAAGCATTAAGACTATTACACAGCATCATTCGGTCCAGGGTCTGCTCAGCAGAAGAGAGACTTGCTGGCTGCAGCCACAACTGATACGTGGAATTAAGAAACAGGCAAAAGAACAACGTTTGAAATCTCCTCTGAAAGTCAAAATAATGAACACATAGTTCCATAGTTTCATTCTGCCATCGGAGGCCTGAATTTATTTCGGACTTCACGGCTTCATTCATACTGACAGGTAGTATAAAGCACTCCCAAACTGTTTTGCTGGGAGTAAGATGCAAAAGCACCTTCTTACTACAAATACAAAATGTTCACGCAGTAGTTGCTCTGGATTTCTTAATTCTTAGATAAACACATACGCATACACATACAAATGTGTGTGTAAATACAGACGTGTGCATGTGAACACAGACATATCTGTACACACATACAAACAAATCCATGTTTCTGTAGGCCTAGTTTCCCCCTTTAGATGCTTTGCCTGAGAATTACCTCATTTCTCGCTAGTCTAGTCGGAGTTGCTGTGACAGGGAGGCCAGGACCTGGAGTACATGTCGCTTGCTGTTCAAAACGTGCACATATCTCGTGAAGTATTTAAGCCCAGGAATCTCACAGTGAAAACTCCCATCACTGCAAGCACAGCCCTGCCTCACACAGTGCAAGAGTGAGAAGCACCACAGTGCTCCTCCTACGCTGAGCCACGTCTCCTAAACGCACCCAGTGGCCATCAGGCTGCCCTACCTGGGAACATATGCTGAAATCAGCTGAGTTTTCGGGGTCCAGGAAAAGGACAAAAAGAAGTATTTCTTAATTCTGAAAACAGCTTTTCAGTATATTTCGTGTGACTCTTGGCTCAAGTCTGACCAAAAAAGTGCACATTAAGTCTGACAGTGACTGTGCTTGCTTTACTTAAACTGGAAATGAAGTAGAAGCAGATAGAACACTGACCCATAAATGTCAGTGGTGGAAGAAGAGTAAAAAGGAAACAAAGCAGATACCTCACTCCATTAGAAAGACTTCAGAGCAGAAATACAGGTAATAAATTTATGTAAGACAGCCTAAAACTATTTCTGTAAACATATTTTATGGCAAAAAAGCTCCTTTGGTATCAGATAACATCTCAAAGTGAAACTAATAGAAAAAGCGGTATGGAACTGCAAAACCAAACCTGAATGTTCTGTGAACAAGCACGATAATACGAAAATTATTAAAAAGTGTCACTACGTACTCAGACTGTTGAGTCCGAGACGGGAAAGACAGTAATCAGACAAGAAGAATCTCAAAATCTTACAGAATTTTTGTCATTTTTAGTACAGGTTCAATAAAAACAGAGTAAAAAGTAACAGTTCAAAAAGCCAACCCACAAGTAAGTTCTGTCTTGTTTTCCTGTTGGTTGGTTCTTGACAAATCATCTGGAGAGCAGTTACCATTTTAATGGCACTGTTTTACGGGAACTTCTTTGAAAACTTGTTTATATCCTGGGTTTAATGAGGAGGGAGGTCAGGCTGTCACCACTAAGTACATCCCTATAATGACCACAAAGAGAATAAATAGCTGTTCAGGTAATCATCAAAGAGAAGAAACACTGGTTCTTACCAACACGGAGGGACTATCACTTACAGGGCTCTAATCTAAAATTTTTTTTAGAACTTCTGTATAACTACGGAAAACATGAGAACAGAAATCAAAGATTCAGGACCGGTCATGTTGAGGTTTTACCATGTTCAAAGTAACCCAACATCCTGACCCAATACGTACCAGCATTGCCCTGGCCTTGTATCGCAGTGGTGATAGGTACTATGTGCGTTCCGTTCTGCGTTACAGTTTTTATCGGTAGCTGGTGTTGACCTAGAGGTGCCTGTTGCACTATAGTAACTGTCTGTAAGGGTGTGGTCTGAGATGTCTGAATGATACGACTAGCAGCTCCTATTGTAGCATGACTAATAGCAGGTATAGGCTCCACTTTAACTGAAAAACAGAAGATAAAACATTGTTAAAAACAAGAAAGCGTTGAAGAACCATTTGTTTTCACCGAGTGAAAAATTATACAGTTTTATTACTAGCTCCAACATATCAGAGAAACGATGAAGCGGTATCTTCAGTTTCAGCCAAACGTTTCAAGCATTCATCTGGAACTAAGCATCAAATACCAATTCTCCTGTACAAAGGGCCGGCAAAACAACTAACCTCACAGGTTCTCACCTTTTACTTCCTTGTGGTCTCCATTCTCTTGAGGTTCTACCTTAGGCTGGGTTACCATTGCAGCTTGCGTCACTACTGCCTGGCCAGCTACAGTGTAAGTGTTTGCTGGTGCTAATCCAGTCACGTTTGTGACAGACACGGCTGGTATCTGGTGGACAACATGAACTGTCTGAACTACAGGCTGCTGGGATGTCGATGTTGTCACAGGAGTTGCCACAGTGTAGGTGACGGGTTTGATAGTTTGTGGTAGCTGCCGTTGTACAGTAATCAAAACTGGTTGGCTAGAGAGAGGTGATCCTACCGAGAAAGAGAGAAAAGTCAGGTTGACAATTTAAATTATCTCTTTTAAGCTGGTCATTCTTTTAAACTTAACACTAAAGCCCCAGAGGATTAACAACCTCCTTCACTACTACCTGAATGACCCAAAATGAAGAGTATGACACCTGGCGAGTCCAGTAACACATTCAAGGTAGGTGCTGGATTAGCTCAGTAAGACTCACACACTGTTCGGGCAAACGTCCCCCCATTGCTCCCCAAAAGCAGCTGTGCCACAAAGCTGTGTTTAACACTCATTTAGTGAAACTCCTCTCCACAGATGGAAACACACACGTGCTTCAGGTGGTGTGTGCAGTGTGTCTGCAGCGGCAAAGCCCTCAGATTGCCAGGCTGGGCGAAGCCTGGTGTCTCTGCTGAGAAGCACTTTTCCTTTCGTCACAGAACAGCCAGTGGCACTCGGGCAGTACCAGTCTCACCAACAAAATGGATGGGAAGTGTACCGACGTAGGTAATTAAATACATCCTTATCCCATCATGCCTTAAACTCTTTCTTACTGGTTTTTTTTTAAACAGGAAATTTGTTATCATGGAAATTTATTCTTTCACTTTCATTTCAATTCTTTTTATCTCCACCTTTGAAAGGATGACATGATACAGATGCGTGCCAGACGTTTGCTTAGTTCTGTAACCCATGTCACCTAAACTTTCTGGTTTGTTTTTGTTTTTCTTAACCAGAAGGAATACATTTCAAAAGGATGTGACAACTGTTACAAGACGGTACAGTCCGTGCAGGACAGCAGCACAGTCTCTGCTTAGTAATCAAGTGATCGAGGGTGCTGGGACAGCACACGGGTAACAGTCCGTATGGACACAAACCGCATTTCCCTGGCACGTCTATTAAAGATTCGCTCGAAGCGTTAGGAGGTTCAGTATTTCCCATTTTGTTGGTGTGCATGTGAAGCCTCGGTAACGTCTATCTATCAGCCCTCTCCCAGCGCCAACCCCCAGACACTTATTTCAGGATTCCTCACCTGGGGCACTCTGTGCAAATCGCGCTTCTTGTATTACCGCTAGTTTTGGCTGGATAGCACTAGGCTCAGGCTCCATTGGGACTGGAGATCCTTCCCGGGACAGACTCTCGGGGGTCTGGACTCCACTGGAGTGCGCAGACAACACTCCAGAGTGATTAGGAGAAGCTGGGGCACTTCTGTATTCAAAAATGAAAGCAGCATCTGATGTGTTTTAACTTCTGAACTGTGAAAGACAGTGACCTTCCTCTAAAGCGACCGTAACACACAGTGCCCAGAGGAGGGCACCTCTGCCTTCTGCCAAGTACAGTTACAACCCAAAGCAGTTCTGGATGATCTTTTAAAAAGCTTCTGTTCAACAGGGACAGAATTTAAAAGCAAATTTCAGGTACGGTTAATGGAGAAGCGGTGGCTGGACGCCTTCTTAGGGAGAGTCTAAACAATCCGTGAAACATGAACGTTTCTTCTGGTGGAATGATGAGCAAATCTCAGTCTACGTACAGGGCAGGTAATAAAAGATCTGCACCAGCAGAAAGGTCATAACTTTACAAAAGGAATAATTTAAACCCACGTACATCCCCGTCATGAATTCTACTTGAACATCAGCAAACTACACATGTAACTGTCACCTCAAGTTCAATAAAATGGTAGCTGGCATTTGATAATTTTCTTTGCAGCTTTAAAATGCAGAAGATGGCAGTTTGAAATTAGAATTCTGTAAAAAAACCCAAACAAAGGTACAGCAAGGCTTGCTTACATTAACAATATGACAGTCAGTTACGCAAACTGAGTCAGTTCTTTAATGCTAAAAACAAGCAATAGAAACAAGCCTAGTGTATGGGGCAGCCTCCTGGTAAATCACACAGAATTCAAATACTGAATCTGGATGAAATTAAATTACTGAACTTGTGACTGTATCCCAAACTACCAAGTCTGTATCAGCCTGAAGATTAAACAACAGCCATAGTCTTTTTGTTCATCTGTTTTTCCTTACCTAGAAGAGAGTGGTCCCAGAGGGGTTCTAAAGCAAGGTACTCCCCTAGGCCGCCTTTTCCTAAAAGCCTGCTCTATTAATTTGCTTTCAGAGGCAGGGTCTATCCTCCAGAATGAGCCTTTGCCTGGTTCTTCCTGGGAACGTGGTACTTTGATGAAATAACGATTCAGAGAGAGATTGTGACGTATTGAATTCTATGGAACATAAAAAAATATGTAGAATTCATATAACTTTTCCAAGTCAGAATGTGGCCTACTGCAGCAGTTTGTACTCTAGGAGACTCAGGGTTCAGCTCTTTAAATCCTTAATTCAACAGAACTCAAGAGCACTGCGAAAGCAGTGCCATAAACCTGAAAGGACTCTCCCATTTTTCAAATCTTTCCCAACAATTAAAAACCCAGTACGCTAATGCGGCAATAACAGGAATCCCATTTAATTCTCTAATGAGAAACATGGTGATTGCAACAAACTGTTAGAACACTACAAATACTTGTGCATAATGCAGCGTAAAAAATAATAAAATAAATCATTCTTCATACACCACCCTTCCCCAGGTGTCTAAGAAAATGTGAGATTATTCTAGGAGGGCCAGTAAAATACAGCATATACTGATTCTGATCTTGTACGATGATCTTGTTACTGTTCCACAAGCCAGAAAGAAAAGGTTAAATTACACAGGTCTCAAATGCTGTTATGTATTTGTTGGGAGTGCACCCACAGCCCAGTCTGTCTCAACAAAGGAGCCAAGCGTGTCTAGAAAAACAACAAATGGCAGTGGGTCCTAAACCAGCTCTTCAGCGAGATCTTCGTTACTGCACTCTAGTTTACACGTTACTTTATCCTCACTTTGCTGTAACACACAATTCTTTGATGAGAGAGAAGTCGAAAACCGCTAACACCTTGCAGTGGCTGTATCTATGCCTGGCTTTGCATATGGGGTTTTTTTTTATTTTAATTTTAAGATAGATAAACCCAGAATCTCTCTATTATCACTGAATGAGAAAATTGTGATAAGCATACATAGTAAAATATTTGCGGGGGAACAAGGGGAAAACAGAGAAAAAGCTTTATGTTACCAAAAGCTCTTAAAAATTCACAAAATCAAATGCAAATCTTGCTCAAACATCTGGAGTTCATGACCCTGGTGGCAAGACTGGAAAACCTAAAGCAACGATAACCATGTATGGTTTCTTAAATGCAAACTGATGAAATCAGAAACGGTTTTCCCTGCCAAAAATTGAAACAGAACTAGAAAGCCAAGAACGTGTTTATAAATTGTATTTATTTCTCCATATGCTAGAATAAAAGAATAGATCCAAAAGTACCTGCAAAAATAAGTTCACGAAGAGGAGTCTTCAAGTGCTCAACAAAATAAGACCTTTATATAACAAAGGATATAAATACCTCAATACTATTTATTAAGGTATAGGATTTGCATATTATACACATGTATGTGCTTTATGTTTCCAATAACATGGGCATATAGAGATGTTTTAAACAATATTTGAGGCTATCATACAAGTCAGCCTGACTGTAACCTAACACCTGGCAGACAAAAGCTCGCAGAGCCCTTCGCACGGGCACAACTGTCGGCGTTACAGCCGGGCTTTCTACCACTAGTGACTGACCAGCATCTGATTTGCAGTTTTTTCCAACTGTTTTAATGAAGAGGTGCTAACTAATTATTCCAGGACATACTATGTCTGCTGCGTCTATCACTTTGGTTTTGTGAAGCATTATACATCTAAATACATATCCTGTTCTAAGGCAGAATTCTTTAACCATGCACCACACTGGATGTGCATGCTTGGTTTCAGATGCTTACGCAGAGAGGCATCACACACATGGATACTCGAGGTATTTCCAAAGAGGAAGCGAAAAGCACCCCAACGTTTTATAAGCAGGATCTTGTTGCTAAAACAGATCTGTTAGTATGACTGAAGCCAGGATTCTGCATGGCTTATGTGTGAAAGGGAAACAAAAGAGACTTCCCAGCCACAACCACAGCTCAGTCCTTCGCTAGACAAACCATTAGCAAAACACTGGGCACAGTTACCTGCCCCTCTAACCTTGGGATTCTTCTAAGGAGTGATTCAACCTTCATATAGGCCCCATGACAAATAAATACGTGATTAGCATTTCAAACTCTATTCCTCCACTGACAAGGCGTGTATTCTTTAGTCTTTTAACTTGTCCAGCAACTATTAACACTTCCTCACTTTTCCCCTCCCCTCTCCAAATTTTCCTTCCCTGAAAATAACTGCAGAGCATGCCTTTCCTGCAGGTCACGGCTGTACTGAGCAGCACCACAGCGAAACTGATACCCCCGACCGAGAGCGCAGTCTGAACGTTCCACAGGCAAACCGGCCCGTCCCGCTAACTGTGCTCTCCTGTCCTTTGCCGAAACTAAAAACAGCAGCAAGGCACCGAACCTTTGTGTGTATCTGGAAAGCCTGTGCCAGACTGATTCATACTCAGTTAGTCATCCTGGCAAGCGCTGAGGTCGGTTTCTTCAAAAATGAAAAGAAAGCAGAAAATCATTCTGCAGAACTGAAGGGGTTGGTCTAACTCGGTACAGAAACGATTAAGTTCCCAAATGAAAAAGGGCACGTTAACAGCACAAGGTAACACGCTCCTTCCTTCTCTGTACTGCCTGGGCAAAATCACTATTTTGAAATAAACCTGAACTTGTAACATTTAGTATCTTTATTTTATCTTAACAATATGGATGTTTACACAGTTATAAACTACAGGACACAACTACATTCCTAGATAGCATATGTGTATTTAAATCCACAGTGCCAACTGTACTTTTCTTCCCCACTAGCCTGTATGCATCCCTTCGGAGAGGCTGTGAATACAGTCATGTTTCAAATGCGGAATAATGTAAATTGCCTACTTTGGAGAACTTACAATCAGGAAAAAGATAAACATATGCATTTGACACGGGATGTTAGGCTCATCAGCTGACTTCTTACAACCCCTTACAGCTTGCAGCATTACTCACAACTGAAAAAAAACATTCCAGAAATCATATTTACCTGCCAGCCCTTGTCTGCAGTCCTGTAGTATGGATAATTTTTAGTTATGTGCGTATAAATTCCATTTAGTGTAAGCTGCTTATCAGGTGCCATTGTAATTGCTTGTACTATTAACTGTGCATAGGAGTAAGGTGGCTTAGAGTCATCCTGTACAACAAAAAGAAAGTCTACATCAATAAACTCAAAAAATACACACGCCCCTTTCTGAATCAAAAGCTACAAAACACAACTGACTTGATTTAAGGCACTTTCAGATGACCAAAGTCTTCAGGCAGAAAAGACACATTTTAGTAGATTTTAAGATATCATCAAAAATTTGGAGAAATGTTCAACAATAAAAAAAAATTACAAGAGCCTACAAACAGATGTGTAACAGAAAATACAGTTCAGGGAAGAGGCAAATAAATCGAAAAATAAATCACATCTAACCACAAAAACCTACAAACTGTTTTTTCAAGTTTGAAATGTGAAAGTGACTTAGTGTATTCACTTAAGACCCGATTTCTGGCATCGATTTCAAACAACGTTTACCTTTGGGCTATCTCCACCCGATGCTTCCTTGTCATTTTCTGACTGCGAATTGTCAGCCATTAAATGTAGGTCAGACGGTATTACCCGACTCATCTTGTACCCTGAAGAGCCTGCACCGCGGGGGCTAGATGGGCAGGAATTCGCAGCACTGTAGAGCATAAAAAGAAGATCCTACTATTTTGTTATACAGTATATCACCACATTATGTCTAATCAAAAAGCTCTTAGTGCAGACAAGCCCACTAACCGGAGCTTCTAGACTCCAGCTAAGGGGCTGTCAGTGTTTCCGTTATAAACCCCATCTTCCAAGCCTTTCTACCTCATCCATGGAATTAAAATCACTGCAGGAAGAAACCTGTCAAATGAAGCTCAGGCATTCCCCCTCAAAGGAAGAAGGATTAACCCATTTATCGGGTTGTACTGCATTTGTGTAAGATTTGCCAGCACAAAAGTCTACTTCGGCTACCACAAGCAACCACAAATTTTAAGACACTCCTTTAAATCAAGAAACACATCTTGCATGAAATTTCTGCCATATGCTTGTATTCAGTCTGCTCAGAAAAGATCTCTCCTGTGCAGTATTTCTGCACATATAAGAAAATACAGTGAGCAGCAAGGAGGGAAAAAAATAATCTCTTTAAACCAACTTTATTTTAAATGTTTACAGGTATGTGCACATACGTACAGGAAGAAAAATCATAACACTTATCTATAAATGGGAGGCATCAGCACCGACACACCTAATTTAAAGCAGTATTAGGGCAACAGAGCAGACCGACTGTCACAAAGCCAAAGATGGCACCAAACAAAGCAAAGCAGCATCTCCCGATACCTCACCTTTTGCTACCCGTCACAGAAAACCAAAGATAAAATTGTATATAATTCCACTGTAACATCTTTCTAGCAGTTGTCCCTCTGCCTCGCACAGTACACAGGAACCAGACGCACAAAGAGTTTTCTGCTGCAGTTTCCATGTAGCCAACAGCAAAGAGACAGTCAGGGGGTGATGTCTGTCACCTTTCCCCAAAAAAATTTTCGCTGTTCTCTGTAAGGACATACGCTCCTCAGCAATTCATACCGAAGCTGATTTTAACACAGTCCTTAGAAATTCCAGAAAGTTAACTAAGAACCAGAACGACAAAGCCCTGTGCTGTGCACCCAGAACCACCTTTGACTCCAAAGACAATCTTTAACCAAACTCAACTCTAAAGCTCAAAACACCCAGTAAAAATAAAGCGAGAGAACGTTATTTAGATTTATACAATAAGGCTTTAACAAATGTACCCTTGACAATCTGTCAAGTTCTGTTTGTCTGCTGGCCTCTCAAGTTTTTTGCTGCCTCCCATTTTATGCACTGAAACAAGGCAGGCATTGTAGATTGAGCAATATATATAAAAATAAATATTCTTCAAGTTTCACATCATGAGAAATCCACCAACAATTTGCTACTAGTGGCATACTATACAAGGGAGATTGGATTTTTTACGTGTTGTATGGAACAATCCTTGATTAGATCCAAAACGTGCAATTGTATTTTTTTTTAAATATAGGTCACTGCTGTTCTATGTTTTCACATATCAGCTGACAACATCCCTCTACTGTGCTCACTTTAGCATATATTGACAAAGCGACACATATGGTATAATCAAAGCAAGTTTACAAGTCTTCCACAAAACAGGATGATTTGAAGAGAAACTGTCAAGCTTTGCTCTCAAAATAGACTCAAAACTGCCGTCTTTTTTTTTTTTTTTTGTAATAAACTACACTCAACAGGTGCATGAAAGCCTGAAGAGAATTACAACATTCACAGTGAGGCAAAGACTGCGGTGATATATGTGATATTATCTGAAATATTTATGAGCTGCTCTGTCATTTCTTGGGCAAGATATGTTTTCCCTGAATTTTAATAAGAAAGTAAACCTGTTATACAGTCAAGTCTAGTTCTCTTTTCTCCCTACTTCCACCATTTATATAGATCTCATTAAACACTACACTATCGAGATCAAGATCTTGGCAAGTATGAAAGAAGTCAATTATCCTTACATTCAAATTTTATTAACAAGATCTACCATTTTAAAAAACAAGCTCAAGTAAAAACACTGGAAGTGGGAGGGGAAGAAAAAACTTCCAAAAGCACATAAGTGACTTTGGAACACAGCTTTCAGTGCCTTTAAATGAAACGTTTGCTCACGAACTTTCAACACTGTATCTAAACTAATTTTACAGGTTTGTGAGGACAGGTTTGGTCCCAAGTAACAAGTTGGACAATGGCTACAATTACCCAAATGAAGCAGCAGAGAAACTAAAAAAAACCACCCACAGATTAACCTCTCCTGCAGATGTTTTTTAAATGCCACATCTTACATTGTATTTTAAGTAAAACATCTGTTTATTGCCAGTAAAGACTGATTAATAACAAATGCTCTGGAGTGAGAGATCAGTCTATTTTCTATACTAATGATAATCAAAAAGCTTTTATCTGATGAGAAACTTCAGGGGGACAGTGACTATCAGAACGCTTAAAACCAGTGTAATTTAAACTCCTCTGATTTTCAGGGTTGCAACAAGCACGCAAGAGTCCTGAGCAAACTGTTACACGTTTAACACATTAATTTTGAATATTAAAGGCTGTTCATGCAACTGCCTTATTAACTAGCAGAACGGTGGCAGGCAATGCCGAGATTCAACTCGGCTTTGACCACAGAAGCAAAGCATTTGGGAAGAATGAGAAAGTTGTGTCAAGTCTGTAACCGTACGTTGCCCTACATCCAATCTGCAGGGTTTAAATACCTGATAGTTCCTGTGGGAGAAGGGAGAGGGCTGATCAGGTGAGCCATGTTGTCTGGAATGTTTATTGTTAAAGGAGAGATCTGAGGTTGCACAGGCTTCACTGGGGACTCCGGGGCCTCCTGTTTTTCTCTCTTCTCATTGGACAGAGCTGTGAATGTTATCTTGATGTTTGTGCTGGGAAACCTGAAAGTACAGCTGAAAAATAAAAAACAAGTACATAAACCACTTGTTTACAGACGGTCGGCTCTTCCACATAACTCGCATCTATCACAGAATCACAGAACAATTCAGGTTGG